ATGAGGGTACATTTTTGGTATTCTCACTTGAACAAACTTTTTGCCTTATTTAAAAAGGATACTAGCAGCAGGCAAGTATTAAGTTGTTCAGGAGTCCTTTAGAATGGCCTTCCCCAGATAGGTACTCTGCAAATGTGTTGGACTATGACACTTAGTATCCACAGCTAGCATGTGTAAGATTGGCTGTAATTTGGAACTGATTCAATTAATCTCATTTGCTTATCTCATTAGGTTTTATTTAAACAGAACCTTTCTTATTAGAGCATGTCTGTGAACATTATCAAATGGAATCGACCATATAATATAAACTGTGTGTTCTCTCAGGTCAAGCTTTTGGTGAACTTCTGTTTCTTGTGTAGGAGACTATTTGGAAAAAGGAGGGGGAGAATATCAGAAAGGCCCAGGAGTTATATACTTAGCTTCTCAAATTATGACCTAAAAGAGTAGTATCAAGATCCTAAATATTTGCCATGGTGTATCTGGTTGCAATTCTAGTAAATCGCTGCTTGCCCAATGTCTTGGGGTGCTGTATTTTGCTGCTACAGTATTAATAACTATACATTTCTATACTACCCAGTAACTTCCGCATGGCTCTCAAAATAGTGATAAAACTATACAATGTAAGAAGAATAAAACCAGCTCACTTACAAAAATGATAGAACTAATAAGCCTCTGAGCACTGAAAAAAGACTGTAATGGAATCTGTTCATGTCAGTTCAATAAGTAATCAATACATGTCACTCGTATCCTTTAACATTCTGGTACAACTTCATTTAAAATTAGGCTGTAAACATTAGTGTAAAACAAAACAATATTGAACATATTACCTACTGCCTAGTCACAAAAGCAATGTTATCCCTGCTCTTGGGTTAGCCAAGTTGCTTTACTCCTAATTGTTAACAGACATTGAACAGTTATAAGCTTAGTTGCTAGAGAGTTGGATTGCATTTCCATGAGAAAGTAATAGCACATTGCGATAAAAGCATTCCTCACTTAACATCTGCTAATTTAAAAGCCAGAGCTAGCTAATGGCATTAATGGAAAGGTCAAAACTCACAGCAGGTGAGCAGCTCAGGACAGGTTCTAATGCTAAGCAACATCTGCCTGAAGCTGCAATTCAATGTACACTTACCAGGGAATAAGTTGCATTGAACTCAGTGAGACTTTTTATAGTAGATGATTCCGTGGTGATGGTGAACTGTCAATTATTTTAGATACTTGAAATAAATATGGTTTAATGAACATGCTTTATGGAGAAGCTTAATGGATCAGGGGGCCAAGTTTTCCCTCGTTCTTCACTGATACCCCATGATGTCGGGGTGATTCCCTGCTGCTGACATCAGATGCTGGACCTTGCAGGGCAAAGGGGAAAAAAATGGGAATGATGGCTGAGAGAGCAGCTAAACAAACTGGATAGTCTTTGGTTCCCCTCCCACCCATGAACATACACTCTCCCTCTAACCCCTCCTAAGCTAAGGTGAGGAGGTGAGGTGGAGGGCTTCAAAAATAATAATTAGCACATTGAACTGAACCCGGAAAATAATGGTTGAGGCCTGTGTAAACAAGGAGCTCCTTCCTGTGGTTATTTTTCTGTCAACAGAAGAACGGCTGAGTTCTGCACTTGTGGAAGCTTCTGGACTTAGTGCAGTGGCAACTGCAAGCAAAACCCACACACTTAACAGCAGACCCTGAAATCTGAAAAGGCACCCCAAGATCCAGGCTTACCTACACTGATGCATTTTGGCTGTTCCTCACAGACCCCACTCATCCTTTGTGCTGTTGCTCCTCCCTCATAACTACTGAAGCAGGGGGGTTGTGGAGAGGAATCAGTGCTACAGTAGGGCCTTGTAGTCCCTGGACATTACCAGATTTAGCTTTACTGTGAGAACCTTAGGATGCAGTTTCTCATAGTTACCATTGTGGTCTATGTGCATCACATAAATGGAGCTCTGTGCCTGCATGGAGTCTGTTGTTAGAAAGTTTCTACAGCTAAGGGTTAGTCTGGGCAGGAGTTAGTGGTGCACACGAATAGTGCCTTGTATGTTCTAATGACAGTTTGAGGCCCCATCTTTACTTAAAATACCCTCTGCCCCACTTAAACCTTTATAAAATTTGGGGCAGTTTTCTGAATCAGTAGAGAGAGTTCTAGGATTTTGTCACTGTAGGATTGACATCACTGAGGTCCCAGTGGTGCCTAGAGATCTTGCAGATTTGCAAGTGGGCCAGTTTTTAAAACCAGATTCATTTGGATGAAATGGCAGATCTCCAAACGAATCTGCTTGAACTGAAACAATTTCAAAATAGTTGCAGTGAGTGTGTGGGGCTACCCATCACCGGCTTTTATTTCTATGTTGGGGGAAAACTGGCTCTGATAACATCTTCAAAAGATTGTTTCTTTTTGTTTTTCTGTCCAGTGGTGTTTCTTTAGCTTGATGATGTAACCATGCTTAGAATATCTAGAATAGGAATAGGGACTTAATGCAGCAGTCCTCCAGCATTCCGTAGAAGGGAAACCACTTTCTCTAGCTCTACCCATTTTCTTCCAACTACTGATTATTTGTTGGTTTCTGCAATCTACTCTGATTTTCCCCTATGCTAAAAATGCCTTTCCTAGGGTTTAGAAGATTTAAGTTTAAAACTTTAGTATTTATTTATTGCATTTTTGGCCTGACTTGAAGCTGAAGGAGGTTTCCCATCCCTGGTCTAGAGCTTTCTTAAAGCTGTCTTTCCTGTGCGATAAGTTTCAATATTACAAGAGAAATTAAAGTATGAGAGGCAGGAATCCTGGCTAGTTTCAAGTTCTGGTACAGGAAGGTACTGAAAATGGAGGTTCACCATTGTTCTACTGATGGGGTAAACACGCTTTGGTGAACATCATGCTCTGGGTATTTATTAGTAAAAGCAAGGGCAAAGAGACTGGTGCTCAGTCCCTGACAGCCTGAGGTGGAGACACTACTTTTCTCCCCGGACCATCTAGTCTCTTAGTTTCAGTGGAAGCTTATATGTAACCATGATCTGGAAAGTTGGCAGTAGTGCTCCTCCACCATCTGTAAAGGATAACATTCTGTTCAAATTTGGGTCTTGTAATGTTACTAAGTTTCCAAAAGCTATCCTTTCAGAAATAGAGAAATGGAATAATTCAACTATAATTTGGTGTACTTTGCTTTAAGGATATGGCACATGATAGACTTAGTTTTAATAAGTGTATGCATGGTGTATATAACCCAATGGAAAGTCATAATTTGGCACCCACATCATCTTTTTTTCTCTGTTGAACCCTAGTACCCAATTCTCATAGCAGGGTAGATAAAAATCAAGTTTTTAAAATTAAAAAATGGATTTTAAAAAAATTAAATGCTTTAGAGGAAAAATCTTTCTAAAGGTAGTTGCTTATTTAAGATACATTATAGTACAAAGGTTATTCATCATTAAATGAGTAGTTTTTAATTATATAGCATGAGGCTGTATATTCATGCAATCTTTAAATGTTCCTAATGTCATGCTTTTCCGAAGGTTTCTGTAAGATTATTGGGCAATTTTTCTGTCTAGAGGATATTATCACAGATGCTTGGTTTTACTGTTCTCAAAACTGTGAATGTGTGTGCAGAGATCACATGGCTCTTCTTCACAGCAAACATGTTATAAAATAAACATACAGAGTTAAGAAAAAGACCTCATTTCCATTGTTCCTTTGTAAATCCTTTGCACAGAATCAACCCCATACCTCTTAAGTACTGTGCTTCAAAGAATTCAATGAATAAAAGAAGACTGTTGAGAGTGGACTAGATATGTACAAGAAGCTAAGTGTGGGGAGGGAGGGGCAAGCAGTAAAATTAAAAGTGACACCTTTTGAGCAGAGTGTGCCACAGGTCTTTGGATGTTTTTGTGAATAGCCTGAGGTTCATCATATCATTCTTTCCCTGGAGGAGAAAGCCTATCATGGCATCAGGCCATTAAAGAGACACAGTTTGGAATGTTTTAATGAAGTTCCTCTAGCTATGGGTAAAGCAGGCATACGTTCAAATTACTAGAAAACCATGATTGAAATCTGGTCTTATCATGATTTAAATCAAATTCATGTTGTAGTAATTGGTGCAGTCATTGCAAGGTGATTCCCCACCCCCACTACTTCCTCTGGTAGACTTTCCAAAGTCATCCATACAGGTGCAACGTCAACTTGCCACAAATTGTTGCAGTGTGAAGTTTGAATGTGCGGTGTGCTAACTAGTTGGTTATGCTCTCTTTCAGGAAACTCCACTGCCTTCCCTCACTCCCATTTTCTGGGCCCTTCCCAACAAACACTCAGCATTCTGTGGCCACTGGGCATGTTCACTCCTCACTGAGCCATTTTGATGTCCTCCCCACTTAGGATTTTCCCAGCTTTAATGCTTTGGTTCTCAAAACTGTTTTGATGTACGGACATAGTGTAGGCCTGGTGATACCTCATTAGTTGCATAAAAAGTGCATTTGTGGGTAGCTAGTAGGAATCTAGCCACCAGGACTTCAGTGCCTCTCTCTATAACTAGCAGAAGCAAAGCCTATACAAAACAATCCAATATGTGTAGCTATTCTGAATCTGAATAATGATTGCAGATTGAATAATTTTGGGTGCCTTGCACCAACATTTCAGTTTAGATTTTTTCTTTGAAAAAATAGGCATTGGTCTGAATTCTGTTAGCTATTTTGAATCTTAAACCTTTGGGAATAAGATGGGTCTGTATACAGGAACATGAACATGAACTTTGAAAACCTTTTTTATATGAGAGAATGCCCTTTTTATGAGTTGCAAGATGTTAAGTGTGCAAATTGGCCTCTGTGTTGGCTTGAAATGGAGTGCAAGGGAGAATGAGAACCATGTGGCTGTACAAAGCATGCTTTCTTAATCTGTCATGTGTAGTAGGCAGGAGTACTACTCTTTCTGGAGTCACTTCCTTAAATGTTTGTTTCTTTTTGTGATGGTTGGTGACTTAGGCTATTTAATGCATTTTTTTCTTTTGCAGAGAGATGGTCAATGCATGGTTTTCTGAGAGAGTTCATACCATTCCAGCGTGCAAGGAAGGAGCCAAACCCCACGGAGAAGCTTGTTCTTGTCCCAGTCACCAGACAACGCGGGCTGAGGGTGGAAACCCTTCACCTCCAACCAGGAAGATATCTGCGTCTGAATTTGACAGACCTCTTCGGCCTATTGTTGTCAAGGATTCTGTTGGAACAGTGAGCTTCCTGTCAGATTCTGAAAAGAAGGAGCAGATGCCTCTCCAATCTCGGACGCTTGGAAACGATGCAGGAGATCAGTGTTCAAGGCTTTTAGAACTGGTGAAGGATATTTCTAGTCACTTGGATGTCACAGCTCTTTGCCACAAAATTTTCTTGCACATCCATGGGCTCATAGCTGCTGACCGCTACTCCCTCTTTCTGGTCTGTGAAGACAGTTCCAATGAGAAATTTCTCATCAGCAGGCTTTTTGACGTTGCTGAAGGTTCCACCTTAGAAGAAGCTTCAAACAATGGCATTCGCTTGGAATGGAACAAAGGGATTGTGGGCCATGTGGCAGCTTTGGGCCAGCCTTTGAACATTAAGAATGCCTATGAGGTAAATCATAAATACTTGGGTATAGAATTGTCTCTGTATTTTTCATCCAGAGAAATTGATTTAAAATAAATACATTGTTACAACAACAACAAAATGACTTCAGAGGGTGGCTGACTGCCAACTCTTAACCTTGACCCATCTAGTTGATTATTGTCTACAGCAGGAGGGAGGAACTCTTTCTGCCTGAAGACTGAATTTCATTTTGGATAAACTTTTGGGGGAACCCATCCCTGTGGCAATGACTGTAGGATGCATGGCTAAAGGAGTATGGGGCCAGCATTTCAGCTTATTTTATAGCTTAAAATTAAGTCTTAAGAGTGGTATTTCAACCTTTGACAGTGGGGAGGGGTTGCACAAAAGCTGGAAAATCATCAGATAATTGGTGATTGGGAGAAAGGGGGCTTGGGACCAGGGAAGGAGAAGTGGCGAACTGGGGGACCCAGTGGGCAAGATCTAAGCTTCAAGTCTGGGTACTGTCTCCATTGTCTGTGCCATTACTTGTGGCTTTTAACAAGAGTATTTCTTTTCATGTCTGTTAACCTAAGGATTATGTTTATGTGTCTTTGAGAATAAAATATAGGCAGTCTCCGGGTTATGCATAAGTTGCATTCCTAAGAACGTCTTTAAATTGAATTTCTATGTAAGTTGGATCACATAAATACAGGTTGTATTTAGCATGAGTAAACCAAATGTATGTATTAATATATTCATATACTTTACCCTTCTGTGCATAAGAATCACTTCCATTTACGGTCAGCCTTCCACATCCGCAGGGGTTAGGGACTCAGAACCCCCACTGAACTGGAAAAACTGTGAATATCTCTATTCCCCCAGCCCCTAATTTTAACTCTTAAAACTGTTGACCATCCATATACTGCATTGCTCCTTCCTCCCTCTGCCTCCCTTTCTGATGCAGCCGGGCTTCTCTTCTTCATTTCTTACATTCTTATGTTCTTATTCCCCACCTTCCCTTTCACTCACCAGCGCTGTCTCCTTGCACCAAGGAAATGCCAGAGAGGTTTCCCTCTCTGGATGGATGAGGCAAGAAGGCGTGCTCTGAAGACCCTCTTTTCCCTTTTGCTTCGTCATTCTCTGTGGTGATGATTTTCTACAGCAGGGTGCAACGCTCTAACTCAAATTTTTAAATTTATGGCCTTTTGGCATTTTGTTTACAAGTGCGGATGTTTGTAACTTGGACGTTCATGACTTGAGCACTGCCTGTACATAAAAAACATATCAGAAGAATAGTTCATCTAGCCCAGGGGTCGGCAGCCTTTAACACTCGAAGAGCCGTTTGGACCCATTTCCCACACAAAAGAAAACACCAGGAGTCATAAAACCCTTTTGACATCTAAAATGAAGATAACACTGCATATATCATTTTTTACTTTAATGCTATGTATATCTTCATTATGATTTAGCTGCAGCTCTTGTTCAGTCACTAAAAACTGTTATTTTTAATCTTACATTATAGACTAGTAGGACTTTCATATATTTTGAATAGGAGAACAGCTTCCTGAAGAGTCAAAGTCACTGCTAAAGGGCTGTATGCATTAAACAGCAAACTCCATAAGTTTGTCAGCAATAAAAGCAAATGAATCTACCCACGTATCATTAAACATTTGGTTTTCTTCAGATACTTTTCTTCAATTTATCCATGGCTGGCCTACCGGCAGGGGGGAACTCAGTAAATCTTGCGGGGGCAGCCGGAGATATAGGTGTGTTTAGTGACTGATTAGCAGATAAACAGTCAAGTGCTGTGAATTGTGACAGGTCCCAAGTGCAGCTTTTAACATTCAGATGAAGGAGATTACACTGGGACAAAGAGAATCCTTTCAACAGAGTTTCGTGTAACATGAGAGCCTGCAGGAAGCTTGTTTACAGAGGAATGTAGCACGTTACTTAACTAGTTAGCCTAGCGCTGCGTTCCTGATTGGAGCTTCGAGCAGATCCGCGGCTGTGCCGGCGCATGTTTGAGTGACGGAGCCGCAGCAGAGGGGTTCAAGAGCCACATGCGGCTCTGGAGCCGCGGGTTGCCTACTCCTGATCTAGCCTAATAGTGTGGACACTGACCAGCAGTGAACTTTTAGGGTTTGAGCCAGGAATTTCGCAGCTTTCCCTGGAGATGCTGCATATTAAACATGTGCCTTCTGCTTGCAAAGTAGGTGATCTGCCCCTGAGCGACAGCCCCATCCCTGTGCACATATATAGGATTGTGCATGGCATGTATAAAAACATAAGAATTTCTGTAATGGTTTCCCCCGATAGAAGAAATGGGTGTTGTTTTTTTAATCAATATTGCTTATTTAGTACATTTCTCATTTCCTCTCAAGAAGAGAAAATGTTCTAAAAATAGCTGTGTTGTAGCATGTTATGATGTAGATTTGTACTGTGGGCTTTTCACGCTATGCCAGGGTGGGTTAATTAACCCCGGAGGCTTGGAGGAATGAAAAGGCTACTGTTTTCATTCTTTAAGCTCTGTGTCATAGTTTGTTACATTGTGCAAACCTGACAATGGTGGGTGTTTGGCGTAATTAACAAACCAGTCAGAACCCACAGACTATTTGGGGTTTATGGGTGGTTTGTTAACCATGCCAACAACCTACTCTCACTAGGTTCACTTGACAACTGTGGCCAGAGTCCACACAGGCAATGTGGCACCCTGAGGTGGCACAGTGTTCTTGTGAAACTAGTTTGTGATTATATTTGTAAGACACAATTTTATATAAATTTGTAAGCCGCTCTGCAGCGTACAGACATCTTTATCTACAAACTTAAAGAACACAAATACAAGTCAGGAAAAGTAACTTCAGAAATAGGACATTTTCAGTGGTTACTCACAACTTCTGAAATGTCTCACTATACTCACCAAACTTCTTCCTTAGCTGTTTTCAGACTATCCTGAAATTGGTTCTTGAGTTTGACCAGTTCTTCTCTGTTGTTCAAAGAAATAATTAGATTTCTATGAATGTTATAGTGGCTTCTGTTTATGTTTGTTTGATATCATTTTTAAATTAATGGTATTTGTACCATATTATTGTACATTTGATTTTGTTTTAAATGGATTGTATACTGTCTTGGGTGGGGCTTGTTCTGAAAGGAGGGGTAGAAATTCCTTTAATAATAATTAAAATATGTTTTCTGTGGTCTTATGCTGGAAATATTGTTACCAAGAAGAGGGATAGTTAAACAGAAGAGCCTGTATTTATATAAACTGTGGGAATATGTGTATTTTTTGAGAAAGCATGTATATGATGATATGTTTTCTTCCCTTGATAGGATCCTCGATTCAATGCAGAAGTGGACCAAATTACAGGCTATAAGACACAGAGCATCCTTTGTATGCCAATAAAGAACCATAGAGAAGAGGTAAGGCCAAGCATTTGGCTCTTCCTTTGTTGTAGTCTCCCCAGCACCGCTAATTCCTTAAACTGTTTTCAGCTCTCAGGCTGTGTCCCAAACTGCAACATTATTTGCTCTCTCTTTTGTCTTTTTCTTTAAAAGAAGTCTGTCTGCCTACGGTCCATAGAGTTTTGACCTGCTCTATAAAATATGCTGAATTGATATACAGCCAGGATTCCCCCACCCACCCGCACAGTGTTGTCATCTTCCAAATTGTGTTAGCCATTTTTGGCAAAGTCAGTGGGTCTGCAGTTGCTTCTTGCAAATATCACACTCCTATTTTGTTTGATTCATTTTGCATTCTATTTCAGCCAAATGTGTATCGTAAGGGCATTTTATGTATGCAGAAAGTGTATTACTTAAGAGCTCTAAGGCAAAATGAACCAACTATTTGACTTACAGTCTCATAAATGGAAGAATGAAGGACATGAGAAAGAAAAGAAAACTGGAAAACATAGAAAAGAAATGGAAAAATAACTGGAATAGCAGAACCATAGAATTAAAGTGAAATTAAAGTAATTTGTTGTTCTCAATATTTGTTATTTGTTATGTTATAGAAGTTAGGACATTCACTTCTGTTATAACTGATTATTATATTATTTCAAATCTGATGGTCTCTATGCAGTATGAGAGAAATTCAAATTGAGAGGTAGTATTAAATATGGTAAATAATAACTCTCTCACATGCATGCCTACTGAAAATTAAGTCACACTCAGTTCAAAAGTGTTTATTCCAGGTAAGGGGGCATAGGCTTTTATTTATGACCTTTTATGGCCCCAATTAGCTGAAGTTCTCTAGACAGTTTACAGGATAAAGCTTGAAACCATAAAATATAATGACATAATAAATAGTTTAAAACTGAATGGAATGAAGTACCCAAGATAAAAGCCAGCAGCTGTGCAATTTTTTTTTCTAAAAAAAGTGAGGGTTATAAAACCTGGGATTACAGCCTAAAATAAATCTGATGTTTCTTTGAATGTAAGATCTGAGAATATATGCCTATAAATTCATGCTAAATTTTTGGTGTTGTTAGAAAGAAGGCACCCTGAAGTCATATCTTTGAATTCAGCCTGCATGGAATTCGGTGTCCAACAGTGGTCTCTCACAAGGAGAGCACTGAGAACCATATACTTGTAACCTGTGGGTGCCTTTGAACTGCACAATGCCGCAAAATATGTGAAGGACTGAGACGTTGGCTAGGGAGATGAGAGGGAGAATAGGACCATATCCCTAACCATGTTGAAAGACCTCCCCTATTAAAGGTGCTCCTCTTTCTCTCACTTGTCCTCACCAGCAGTCTGAGCTGTAGGAGAAGCAGGGCCATTGCAACTCTATAAAAAGAATGTTATTTCTGTCCTCATTCCCTTTTTCACTGTGTGCTTCTTATTAGATCGTAGCCTGTGATCAGGGACTATTTTGTTTAATTGAGTATATGTAAATTACTCTGGGAGCTTTTTTGGCTGAGGAGCAGTATGAAAGCATGCATTGGGTAGCTCCTGTTACTGAAAAGGTGGGTCCATTACAATTTCTTGAAGCATACAAGCTACCACTGCTTGTTGAACTTGCTCTTTAATAGATCTTTCTTAATGCCATTGCAAGTGTCCTTCTCCCAGTTTTGTTCCTGCTTGGCAGATGCTGAAGCTGGCCCAGAGTCAACTAATAACTGAACAGACCACTGCATATGGTAATGTCTGGCGTCAGAAGTCTGGTGCATGAGTCCCATGTTTTACTCATGGCATGCTTTCTTTAGGCAAGCAAACTGGAAGAAAAATAGAATGTGTCAGGCCATTGGCTTGCAAGCCTACATTCAACATGCACTTTGAAGGGTTTGGTCTCTCCAGCTACCATCTAGTCAGCCATCTTTGACCAAAAAAGAAACTAACTACTGTATTTTCAGACCAAGCTATTCCTGCACCCTTAGAATTACTGGAATAGTTTAGCCTCCTGTTTGTGTAGTTATGGATACAAAATCTGATAAGCTAGGTAGAGCTTACTCTCATAAATACAAGCATGGTCCTGGCTGGAAGAAAGCAGACTATTCTTTCATTTGGAACTGTAAAGGAAACTGATGCAGTAACAAGTTTGACAAGGATCAAGGAAAGAGATGATGTCCTTCACTCACGTTTATGCATTTTAAATGGAAAGGAACTGGGGTTTGGAGTGTTGTTTGGGAAAGCTGGGGTTTTGTTCCTTTTAAACTGTCTTAACAGAAGGTTTTCATCACTCTCACCATAATGCCTAACTGACACATTTCTGGAATGAAGCTTGATCCACTGAATCAGCCCCTACATTACCATCTGCTTTTAGCTTATTTTCCTTTAAAAAATTAACAACATAAAACACCCTGATTCTTTGTTTTCCCCTTACAAAATTGTCCAGAACACAGACATAACCCTTCTCCTGAAGATCTATCTAGCAGATAAAGAAAGCAGCTTTACTTCTAAGTAACTGAATATTCAACAACAATCCAGAGATCTAAGAACTTTCTGCACAGCTACTGGAATCATGCCACAAGCACATTTAAGCTGTTGTGCATTACTCCCACGAGCGATGCTTCAGTGGTGTGGGGGAGGGGGATCCTTTCCATGCTTTGTGTAAATGTCTGTGAACAGTTGGGCATAACAAGTGATAGAAGAGATAGCATTGCTGTGTGAATAGAATTATGCTGCATTCGTTCCTTCTTTTGAAGGAATGTGCTACATTTGACCTTCTGTGAAACTGCAGAAACAGCTCACACAGCGCCTATTTGGAAAACCCCCTAGAAAAAACAAATGGAAAATAAAGAAACAATTCTGTCCTTTGCTGCTTCCTACTCCTATTATGCATGCTGTTCCTCCTGCACCCCACTACCTCTATTAATCTCAGACTGCTTGCAGAAGGTTTTGCATGTGCACTGCCATAAGCAGGACAAGGAGATCATGTTCCACTTACCACTGGGAAAGATGCAGAGAGATTTTGTGTTGCATCTCACATAACTACATCACACAGATTCATGAAGTGTTCTATACAGTTAAGCAAACACAATAGCAGTGAGTACACAAAAATGGAAGTCTTGTAATTTGCAGGAATTACTTCTTTAATATGTATCATAGGCATTCCAAAGACAAAGTGTAAAAAATCACAAGCCTTTGATAATGCAAGATGCGGCACAGAATGAAAGCACCAATCCATGAAAACAGCTGCCTGCTAACTTTGAATGTTTATGGTTCTAACTATGTTGAGTAGGGCTCGCTCTAACGCGAGACTCATTGAGTCTCTCGTCTTGGGCAGCACATGGAGAAGAGCAGCAGAGTGAGCATGGCAGTGCCGCACTTTTATATACTGCATCGTATCCAAGCTTCCCGTCACGTATCTAGGATGGTTGTGTCCTGTTCTGTAGAGAAAAGTCCTCTGTTTGAAAGGGCAGTTAGAGGACCATCCTCTATTTGAAGTTGTGATATATTTCCACTCCGGGACAAATGTGAAGGGAATGACCCTTAAGAACTGAGAGCAAGGGGCCTTATGTTGCCCATCAGCAGTTTACACATGGGCATCCTAGGATGCAAGAACACAGGTTGCAGAGTTCCCTTCTATGGCTGGTTGTATTTCTGTTTGAATTTAGCAATTCATTTCCACCTTGTATCTCAGAATTTAGCACATGGAAATGTAATGCACATCTGATTCCTTCTTTCACTTGTTTTGACAAAGTATACGTGGTTACCCTACATCCTACTTTGAAACCTGACATTCAGCATTTTAAATCTTCCCAAATGCACGTTCACTGCTATCAGGTACTTCTCTCCTTCCACCTGGAAAACTCAGTTTACTTGGTCCAGGCAGCATGTTAAACTAAAGTGGTGCTCCTGTTTGGACCTAGATTGCTGGACCTTGCAACAGATGTCCATTTTAAATAATCTGTGACTGCAGCTCGGAACCTGGCTGTGGAGTGTCATATACTGAATTTGGAAAATTTAAAATGTGGTTGTCTGTTTCTGGTGCTCTGGAACTAAAATGGGAGCTGGCTTCTATGTTAAGATGCAGCTGCACCCAGGTAAGTAGTTGGGTATATCAGGAGCAGGGGACAAAGAGGGGTGGATGCCACCTGCGGCAGCATCAGCATCATATTGTTTCTAGGCTCAAGGCTCCCCACTTGGCTCTTACTTAAAAATGCTTCTACTGGATCCGGTAAGCTGCTCTGCTTGGAAGAGCATGTGAGTGATGGGGATGCATATGAGAAAGGTGGCCCTATCTTGCCCATCTCAGATGGTGGCATGGCATGGATTAGCCTTGGCTGTGCATTTTTATTGTTTGCAGTTATTCAGGAAAGCATGTCTGAAGGCTGTCTTACTATTACTTTGGTGATAGTCAAAGACCTCTTTATCAAGCTTTTCAATGTTGGTAACTTATAAAAGTGTTTCATTCTTTTAGTGTCTAAATGTCTGGGAAAAACTTGTTTGACACTGTAATGGCAGACAAGGAAACCCCTGCGGAGAGGGCATTGCACAGGTGAGACACCAGATGTAGAATGATTTGCAGAGGAGGGCCGATATGGGAAAGGACAGTCCTACAGATACAGAGGACTTAAGCCATCTAGAGGAATGCCAGTGAAAAGTAATTTCATTTCTTGGTCAGTAGTCTAGCACTGTTTCGAATGAACTGGAGATTCTGTCTAGACTGTCTTCAGGGGCAACCTTACATTGTGAAAAATCTAATATTGCCCTTTGAAAGCTAAAAGAATATGATTATCTCCAGAATAAAAGCATTTTCTTAAGCAGAGGGGTGTATGGATGTAAAGTCTTTCTGTATTTAAGTTTGTCAAATACCATTTGTTCCATTGTCTACTTACTGATGAAATTAGGTTTTGTGCGAATGCATTCAGATGCACCAACTCAGACTTGCATAAATTTATGTGTGAATGTGTGAATCTCCCTAAAATATGTCAGTTGCCCCCAAAATGTGTATTTTCGCACTTTAGCATCTGTGGGGA